ACTTGGACTTCAGTAAAGCATTTGATAAAGTAGATCACAACCTACTACTTGACAAGATAGAAAAATGTGGGGTAGAAAGCACCACCACCAGATGGATCCGTAGCTGGCTGACTGGCCGTACTCAGCGTGTGGTCCTCAATGGAACCGCATCTACATGGAGGGAAGTGTGTAGTGGGGTGCCCCAGGGCTCTGTTCTGGGCCCAGTGCTCTTCAACATCTATATCAATGATTTGGACGAGAGGATAGATGGGGAATTCATCAAATTTTCAGACGACACCAAGCTGGCAGGAATAGCCAACACTCCAGAAGACAGGCTTAAGATACAGAAGGATCTGGATAGACTTGAACACTGGGCGCTATCTAACAAAATGAAATTCAATGGTGAAAAAAGCAAGGTTCTACATTTAGACAAGAAAAACCAAATGCACAGGTATAGTATAGGGGGTACCTTGCTCAATAGTAGTAACTGTGAGAGGGACCTCGGAGTCCTAGTGGACAATCACCTAAATATGAGCCAGCAGTGTGCTACAGCTGCCAAAAAGGCCAACACAGTGCTAGACTCCATTAACAGAGGGATAGAATCAAGATCACGTTAAGTGTTAATACCACTTTACAATGCCTTGGTAAGGCCACACTTGGAATACTGCATCCAGTTTTGGTCACCACGATGTAAAAAAGATGTTGAGACTCTAGAAAGAGTACAGAGAAGAGCAACAAAGATGATTAGGGAACTGGAGGCTAAAGCATATAAGGAATGGTTGCTGGAATTGGGTATGTCTAGTTTAATGAAGAGAAGGACGAGGGGGGACATGATAGCAGTGTTCCAATATCTCAGGGGCTGCCACAAAGAAGAGGGAGTCAAGCTATTTTCCAAGGCGCCTGAAGGCAGGACAAGAAGCAACGTGTGGAAACTAATCAAGGAGAGAAGCAACCTAGAACTAAGGAGAAACTTCCTGACAGTTAGAACAATTAACCAGTGGAACAACCTGCCTCCAGAAGCGGTGAATGCTCCAACACTGGAGGTTTTTAAGAAGAGACTGGATAGCCATTTGGACTAGATGACCTCCAAGGTCCCTTCCAACTTTACTATTATTATTATTATTATTATTATTATTATTATTATTATTATTATTATTATTATTATTATTATTATTATTATTATTATTATTATTAATTACATAATTATAACATTGAAAGGCAGCTGGGTGACCTTAGGCCAGTCACCCTCTCTGTCTCAGCCCAATTCACCTCACCAGGTTGTTGTGGGGAAAACAGGAAAAGGAAGGAGGACTAAATGTGTTTGCAGAACATCAGTTTTTTTGTGAGTAGCAGAAATGTAATGCTTTGATGCCATCTAGTGTTGATTCATCAGAGATATAAAAATATATTGATACGTAGATATACTGACAATCAATATGGTATGATGTTTTAAGGGGTTGGACTGGGAGCAGGGAACAGGTTTTGGTTCTCCTTTGGTATGGAAGCCGTTGGGATGGTTTTGGGCCAATCATTGGGATGTTGAAAAACACACACACACACAAATATATAAGATTTTGTAGTGGATAGAGGGTTAGATTATGGTTCATAATCTTCAGTGAAGAGGCCGTGCTCCTTTGATAGATTGATTTAGGCTGATACTACAGTAGATATAGGGTTATGCAAAATGTTCTATGGATGAACTGTCCCAGGGACAGAACAACTGGTTTGTAGGAATTTGTGCCTGAATTGAAGGAATATTTTGAGGAGTTTTGGACTGTTCATGGAAGCTGGTTTGTTTTAGACAGAAATAGTTCATGGGAGGAAGTTGGGTAGGGGGGCAGCAGAGGGGGATAGGGGTAGGTCACTGGAGGCAGAGAATGTTCTGGGAAGTCAGTAATTATTTGGCCAGTCAGTAGGACAGGCTAAACTGAGACATTTGTAAAAGAAGAGAGGAAGGCTTTGGGAAGAATGGGAGGCCGGTGAGCCAATGGAATATGCTGAAGTGGGACATTGTGGCCACAGTTGGGGAAAGGAAGGAACTTGAAATCTTAAGGGCAGGGGGCTTGGTGGGACATGGGTGATAGCTGAAGTGGGAGGGAAAGCAAGACATGAGGAAAATGGTTGGTTGGTTGATTGGTTGGTATATGCCATCCTGGGAGCCACTGGATGGAGAAGGGGAGGGGAGGATGACATGGACTAGCTGACAGAAGTTGAAGTCCAGACATCTTAAAATTGCCAAATTTGAGAAGCACCGGGTTCAGTGAAGTCTAGGAAACACTGTGTGGTCTGAAAAATGTCACAGATCAAAGGCTGCTATCCCCCCCTCCAGACTAGATTGTAGGGGAGGGGGCACTTTTTAATAAAAAGAGCTACCTTCTCACAAATTTTCAAATGAAGCTTATCAATCATGAATTTTTAGAAAGCACCTTATGTGGCACACTTGGGACATCTGTTTGGGAATTAAGGATATTTTTCATTTTTTAATGTAAGTTGATTGAATTATTGTTACAGGTCAAGAAATAGGCTTCAGAAGAAATATTGAGCTGTAACATTCTAATTCCATGCACTGCCAGAAATTGAATGTGTTGGGGCAGCTGTCTGTCATTGCTGTGCTTGTGCCTTTGTGTTCTATTGCTCTGTATAAAACCCTTGGGTACTAGTTCTATAATGGTAACAATATTAATTAGAAAATATGAGCGGCCTAGAAAATAGTACCTCCCTAAGGAATTTGCAGTCTTAGGGGGTCGCTGGCTACTTTACATAAGGGCAACATTAACTTTGTATAAGATTATGTTCACCCAACACTCTTAACCAAGTCACCTAAGATCTATAACAGGGGTCTTCAAACAAGATGTTCCAGAGGGCAGGAGCCAAGGGAGGAGTTGTGAGTCTAGAACCTCCTCGCATAGCGTCTGTCTTGGGTAGTACAAACCCATTCAGGACCAAACATGATAAATCCTCAGATCCTAAGGCTCCACATACTTACTGCTACTCCATCTTAACAGAGTTCACCTAAATCCTGTTGTCCTGTCATGGTTCCGATAGATGAAACCCATTAAAAGAACTTCAAGGCAAAAATTCTTCCTTAAAGAACATTTTATTCAGGAAACAAAGTATCGGCACTACATAGTTGAATCCAAAAACTAAATTCCCTTCTCCCGATACAAAGTAACAAAGTGCAATTCCCACCCCCAATAAGCTGTCATAAATCACATTCTCCAATTAGCCTAAAACGCGGGCTTTCTCCCCAGCTCCTCAGCCCACCAAAACGTTTCAGTCTGTCCTTGGGTTCCCACAAAACAGTGTTATTATTATGGCTAGCTGAGCTCGAGCTTTCATCCCAAACCCCCCCCCCCCTTCTGCACCTGAATTCCAAATACCAGAAAAAAACATGTTAAAAGGAAAGAGAAAATGGCTGCAATTTTCATCAGTTGTCAGAGCGGGAACATCCAATGTTTACAGCGTTGACATGTCCCAAATCCAGATACCCAGTCTCCAGGCACCGCAAAAGAGCAGAAACAACACTTGGGTTATCTGGGGTTGAAATGTAAAGTTGAGTATATCAGCATACTAATGTTACCTCATCTTGTGGTGTTGGATGATCTCACCCAGCGGCTCCATGTGGGTGTTAAAAAGGAATGCAGAGTATTGAGTCCTGTGGCATACCACAAAGCAACAGCCATGGTATTTAATATAACATATGTTAAACAAATTGTAGTACTGTACCTTACAAAGAAATGTAACCTAATGTAAATGTTTCCTCTGCCCAGTCATTTCTTACTCTAGGGGGCGGTGTTCAACTCTGTTTCTTAGCTGAGAGAGCCAGCGTTGTCCAAAGTCTTGTGGCCAGCATGACTATACGCTCAGGTGCACGGAACGTTGTTACCTTCCCACAGAAGTGGTACCTATTTATCTACTCATATTTGGATGCTTTCAAACTGCTAGGTGGGCAGGAGCTGGGGCAAGTAATGGGAGCTCACCCCCGTCGAGTGGCACTTGGGTCTTGAACCTGGGCTGTCAGCTTTCCAGCTCACAAACTCAGCGTCTTTAACTGCTGAGCCATTGCGCCTCCATTACCAAAAAATCTAATGTATTTTGTGACAATCTGTGCCTCAACGTATCCAAAGAATTTGTTCACTCTGCATTTCTCGGACTGGTGTAGAAGATACTACTACTGCTGCTGTCATGGTAGCAGTATCTAGTTATTTTCTAGATTTACCCATATTCTGAAATGCTTTATTTCACTCCTTTTGTTTATGAGGCCACTTTTAATAAGTAAATATCCAATTTATATAGTTGATTATGGGAATCACAGGTATCTATGTACTTCTTTGGAGAGTTAAGGTTTAATATTCCTTCCACAAACAGTGCACAGAAAGAGATGGAAGGTTATCCAAAGGAAGATTATCCCAGCTTCCCGTAGCATGGTAATCTATAAATATGTTTGAAATGCATCTTTTAAGAATTCTCCTTAAGCATGTCCAACTATTTTGGTTGAAACTCTGGGAGAGCTTTTCCTAATGTAACTGAAGGACACCAAACTAGAAAAGGCGGGACTATATTCTGTGCTTGCCATCATCACTGCTTCTACATCAAAATACGTCATATGTAGATATTATTAATTAATGAAGTTTTCTTTTATGTGGTGCTAAATACACAACTGTCTGAGCATTAATTGCATTGGTAAAAATCAGTTGGGTGGAAATATTTATGCCAAGGATCAGAAACATGGCAATTGTGAGTCCTTTAGTTCAGCACTAATAAGTCCCATTATTTTTTTCAATTATTTAAAAAAGCCCCAGGCTTCAATCAAGTATTCTAATATCTCATGAGATTTCAGTCTTCTTGCCTGAGACCTTGAAAGATAAGCCCAAAGTCTTTCAAGCTTTCACAATCTTGGAAGATCTGATACATTTTATATATCCTTGGGCTACTGTACTAGATTTTTTGATGGTGCCCAGCATATGAAAAACTTAGCAACTCCTGTTTTATGTATCCCCAGATGATATGGAAACAACAGTAGCAGATTATCATAATCATTTATTCAAGATAGGTATGTGCATGAAAGCAACTCTGAGTAAGTCATGTCTACAAAAGGGGAAAAGAAAATTTCTCTGTCTTTCATCTTCATATGTCCTGTCAATTATTTAACATATCACTATTATTGTTTCTTCTTTACCTTCTTCACTTGTACTTTTGATATAGCACTCAAGGCAGACTGAGAGTGCTGGCCTATGCAGTCAGATAGAATTAATTTCCCCGATTGGGTTGGGTATTTGGTTTTCATAAGACCTTTAAATGCTGGCTGACTGAGCAAGTGCTTTAGTTGCTTCTTCATTCCCTTCAGCATCTTCTGCTTCTCGCTCTCTTCTCGCTCAGTGAACTGGCCTCCTATAATTAAAAAAAAAACCAGAACACATAAAAATAAAAAGGCCAAGTTCATTACTGAAGTCACAATCTGAATGATTAAAAATATCCCAGCCCTCAACTAGAAACACACAACGTCCTTTCTAGTTATATATAACCAATATAAATTGGCAAGGCTGTAACTCAGGACTCAGGTGTATAATTACCTAATTTGACATCCTAGTTTCAATGTTCTCCATTCCTATTTAAAACAATCAGTAGGTTCTATTTGATGTTACTTCTAAGTATTTTCCTCGCTTAATTACAGGATGCCCAACACGCAATGGCAGGGCACGTACTTTTCATGTAGATGGCCTCTGGTTCAATCAAGCTTCTCTATCACAAAGATCTGTAGTAACATTCATGTGTCCCTTGTATCTATTCATTTGGGAAGAATCCAGAGCTAAGTCAGCTATCTATCTTAAAAGGCAGAGCATCATGTTTGAGAGATGGAGAGGGAGGAGCCGGGGGGGGGGGGAGAGACACCTCTCAGTTTCCAAGAGAACTGCAGGAGACTTCCAACTTTCCAGAAGATTGATGTTAATACCAGTATCAATGGAATGGCAGGCCTCTAAGGGGCAAAGTGTCTCCATTTCCAGCCACAAAATCTCATAAAATGGTCTAAATATCATGGTGCTGCAATTTGGTAACATAATTTTCATCCATTTCTTTCTCTCCCTCTCTGTATTAACAGTACAAATAGAAATAGTTTGCCTCCCAGAAACCTCCTGCTCCTGTTAGCGCACCCTTATTTTTGGAGAAAAAAGGATGAAATATTGCATTACTGAATATGGATTGTTTTGCCACTGAGTATTGGAAATGACAAGTCCTTGGTGGTCTCTGAATTTGGTTGTTTTCTTGCAAATGTTTCATTACCCAAACTACTTTTGGGTAATGAAATGTCTGCAAGAAAACAACCAAGCACAGAGAGCACCAAAGACCCCTCATTTCAACCTGAGTTACAAATATTTTCCTTTAATGTTGGTGATATGAGTTAAGTATTTTTGGCATCACCTGGCATGACAAAGTCCCAAATAGCGCAGTCCTGGAATGTGCTGGAATCTCTAGCATATATACACTATTGAAACAGTGACGTCTACGCTGGCTTGGGCATGTCGTGAGAATGGCTGATGGTCGGATTCCGAAAGATCTCCTGTATGGAGAACTAGTGCAGGGAAAGCGCCTCAGAGGCAGACCTGAGCTGCGATATAAGGATATTTGCAAAAGGGACCTAAAGCCCTTAGGAATGGACATTAACAGCTAAGAATCCTTGACCTCTGATCGTTCAGCCTGGAAGCTAAAGACTGAGCATGCCCTTCTCCAATTCGAAGAGACACTTGTGCGGCAGGCTGAGGCAATCCCGGAACCAGCAAAATCTGGGGGCTGGACAGGGGACAGATTGTATCTGCCCTCAGTGTGGAAGGGACTGCCATTCTCGAATTAGCCTTTTTAGCCACACCAGATGCTGTCTTAGGTCCTCTTTCCAGAGAACGATACCATAGTCTCTCGAGACTGAAGGATGCCAATGTATGAGTTAAGTGCTCTGAAGGGGTTTTAAATGGTGTGTGTGTGTCTTATGCAATGCATGTAGGTTGCCTCCCCATTATAAGAAAAAGGTGGGCAATTTCTGCCCTTGGTCACATCAAGCCCCCCACTCCAATAGTTTTGCTAGTATTGCTGGAGCTGCTGTCTGAAATGTAGTGATGTCACTTCTTGCCATTTTAAGGTAGGAAATGTATAAACATTTTAGTTTAAGTTCTAAAATAGCATGATGTTGTATTCTAATGTAGCTTTCCCCACCCCAAAACTCTTTCTAAAATAGGGTGTCAAACTGTCAGCCCATGGGCCGGTTTCATCATACCGAAGCCACACCCACCCCATTGCCAGCAATGCAAAAAAAGTTGCGATATGTCACGTGATGTGACGAGTTTGACACCCATGTTCTAAAAGAACACAGAAAGAGAAACAAAATGCGGATCCTGCCTAATTGCATGATATACTCAAACTTGCAATTATTTTTGCACTAACTGCAACATCTTAACTCCAGGATACAATCACCAAAAGCTGCTCATCTCATGAATACCTAAATTGCTCTTACCAAGTTGGAATGAAGCTTGTAGCTGAAAGCCTCCTCCTCGTCCCAAAACAGCTGAATTTATTTTAGATCAAAAGAGAGACCACGACAACATGGGCACTCTCTAGAATGGGAGCAAATGATATCACAGATTTTGCATAATTGGTAACCTGATTGTGATGCAACCAGCACTTTCGGGCATGTGGCTGTTCCTTATGAGTGCATCCTGGCTAAGAGAGAAGATTCTGGATACCTCCACAGCCTACACATTCATTCCTACTTGCCTATTAGCTCATCATCATCCAGATCAAGTTCAAGTGCTTCTGCAGCTTGCTGGAGCCATGAGTTTTGATGCTTGGCTCGGCTGTTGAAATACTCAATCTTCTCAATCTGTCTTGCCAAATTCACACGCTCCTGAAACGAAGAAAAGAAGGTTACTAAGCTATCAGGTTATGTACATGTGTAAATCATACAGGGACAGAAATCAGGCGCACAAGAAAAGCATCCTAAAGCCCAATAAAGGTGACTGAAATGATAGAATGGAAAAGCCAGACAGCACAACCTGCATAATTTGTAGCTTTTCTGTACTGTTATATAAAAGGAGTAAAATAGTAGTTTGCTTAGCTTTGTGGGTCTCAATTGTGTAATGATCTACCTTATGGGTAAAAGAACTAGCAAGGTGGAATATGAGACAGTCTGATATATCTTAATTTTACAACTACAGATCTATTATAAGGTATATATAGTATTACTAGCTGTACCCAGCCACGCGTTGCTGTGGCTCAGTCTGGTAAAGCGTGTGTTGCTTTTATGTCCAACAGATGGCGCTGCTTTTCAAAAAAGCATGTTTTACCTGTCACAGGTGTGACATCTATATAATATAGGTATATAAAAACGCGCGCGTATTCGAATGCAAGATTGTGTCAAAATTTCAAAGCAATCGGTGAAGAACTTTCAGAGAGTTAAGATTTTGAACAAACGAACATTTACATTTTTATTTATATAGATATAAGATATTATAGCAAGGATGTCAAACTGCCGGCTCGCAGGCTGGATGCGTCATGCTGAAACCGCACCCACCCCATTGCCGGCAATGGGAAAAAAGCTGCGATACGTCGCGACACATCATGTGACGTTGCGAATTTGACACCCCTGCATTATAGTATGCCTTATAATAGATCTTTAGTTGTAAAATTAAGATATATCAAGACTGTCCCATATTCTACTTTGCTAGTTCATATATAAAAGAAACCTATAAAAAGTCTTTGAGGGATGAAAGTCTAAATGATATATTTTTGTTTCAAAAGATAATTAAATGGTTACAGTTGTAAAGTATATGAAAAACAGGGAGATTTAGACCCAATGAAGTTGACTGCTAATCAATGCAGAATAGACTAAAAAGCTTCTTTATATCTTGATTGAATAAGTAAAGACAATGATGGTTTCTAGCTTAGAAAGCTTTTTACATGATAATTAGATCAATTCATGTTCTTCAATGATTATTTGCTGCAATACTTAACTGGAATCACCAGAAACTCTGAACCTTAGACATTAAGGATAAACAAATGCCATTAGCTTCTTATTCTCCATGTATATTATTTAAGTTTTTAGAAGCATATGCCTGGCCTGACCACTGCTGGAAAAGAATACTCTATATTATGGTTTTCAATGAGCATTATCAATGCAATGACACACAGTACTGTACTATGGTGACATGTCACAATAAACACCATAAAACATATGATTATGTAGTATTTTGACTATATTTTTCCATAAGGCCCTGATATTCCCATGTTAAATATTCACAACCCTAGTAGTTTGTGTGTGTGTGTCTGTAAGCATGTGTGTATTTGTATGGAATCAGGTAGCTTTCACACTGAATTAAATCAATAAACTCTTGGTATATGATATGGGATCACCACTTGGCAGTCAACTTTCTATTTCCACTAGAAGTGGGAAAGTCCACTATAATACTGAATCACAATAAAAAATACTACATTTTTGGAGATTGAAAATTTTCTAGCTAAAAGTTTTATTCCCACAATGAAATAGAATCTAAGAATCTATCTACATAGAGTACTTGAAAATCATATTTAAAGAGGGCTCATCAATAACAAAATAACAGTGTTGGAAGGGATCTTGGAGGTCTTCTAGTCCAACCCCCTGCTCAGGCAGGAAGCCCTATACCATTTCAGACAAATTGTTATCCAATCTCTTCTTAAAAACCTCCAGTGTTGGAGCACCCACAACTTCTGGAGGAAAACTGTTCCACTGATTAATTGTTCTAACTGTCAGGAAATTTCTCCTTAGTTGTAGGATGCTTCTCGAACTAAGGAGAAATTTCCTGACAGTTAGAACAATTAATCAGTGGAACAATTTGCCTCCAGAAGTTGTGAATGCTCCAACCCTGGAAGTTTTTAAGAAGAGACTGGACAACCATTTGTCTGCATAGTTGTGCAATGGAATGGCTGTTCCTTATCAAAATGAAATGAGGCACTGAGTAGGGTGTCACAAGATTCAGCCCCATGGACTCCACTCTTCAACTTTTTTACTGATTAATTTAAAAAAGACATGTAGAAACAGCTTATCAGATTTGCAGGTGACACAAAATTGGTGGGTAACTAATATTTCAGAAGAGAAAGATTAAACTATTGTGGCAGGGATCTGAAAATGATATATTGAGATGCCATTTTTTTTCTTAAGAATGTAAATCAAATGCACAGTATAAGATGTGAAATATTTTGGATGGTATTTGTATTTCTGAAAAAGATCTTGGTACAGAAGCTGAGTACCAACTGAATATGAGTCTGTAGAGGTAGTTCTCTACTTATAACCATTCATTTAGTGACTGATCAAAGTCACAATGGCACTGAAAAAAAATTCTTATGACTGTTTTCACATTTACAACTGTTGCAGCATCCCCATGGTCATGTGATCAAAATTCAGGCACTTAGCAACTGGCATGTATTCATGACAATTGTACTGCCTCAGGGTGATGTGATCACTATGTGTAACCTTCCCAGGCAGCATCAGACAAGCACGCTTCAATGAGAGAAGTCAGATTTGCTTAACATTTGCATGATTCACTTAACAACTGCAGTGACTTGCTTAACAACCATGGCAAAAAAAGTCGTAAAATGGGGTGCAACTCATTTAACAAATGCCTTGCTTAGAAACAGTTGTGGTGGTAAGTTTAAGACTAATGGTAGTGTAATGAGACGGTGCGTGAGCCAAGAAGCCAAAGACACCTTTGGTGTAGTATTTTAACAGATTTATACAACAAAGAATGAATCCAATGGTATGAGTTCTGGATTCTCTCTTACAATCTTAGGAGCAGATTCAGGACCACAGACTGCAGTCACCTCATGGAAGAACTCACAAAAAATAAACACCAAAACTACGTAACTGTTCCTATACACAAGTTCTCCAATTAAGTTCCCAAATTGAATTAAAATTACTTTTTAAGACCTCCATGAGCATGAAAAGTTATGCAATTAAAAGCATAGTTGATTCTAAAATAAAGATAAGTTTTACCTTGACTGCTGTCATGTATTTTGCCTCAATTGGAAAGAAAGGAAGCTCTTCGTCCTTCTTCAGTGTTTTATAAATCTTTTTAAAATTAATCAAGTCCTGGGGTCCAATCAGTAGTAAGCTCAGGCCCTCATTGGCAGCTCTGGCAGTCCTGCCACTTCTGTGAACATAAAGCTCGGAAGTACGGGGAACCTGGAACAGTATCAGAGATGCAACAGTTCCAAACAGAGAGGACAACACTTACATAAAAAGACAAGGCCGCAGAACCCTTTCCAGCAGGGTTGGATTACACCTGTTGTAATGTGACGGTCTGAGTAAGTTCACAGAGATGCAGAGCACCCAAGATCAAAACTTCTGACCCTGAAGAACTTCTCTACCAATTCTATGTAAACACTGAAAAGTCACAGAAATTAACACTGTGATACCAGTGGCTAGAATGACATAGATCGCTTTCTTTTCAGGAATATTTGTTTCTGGAAATTGCTGGGCAACTTCTGGATTGCCCCATTGGGAAGGCCTAGTAAAGGATAGGCCAATCTTATTTAGAATATCCCACCTTGGAAAGAGAATATTTTGTGTCTATCTAGTGCAGTGTTTCTCAACCTTGACAATTTTAAGGCATGTGGACTTCAACTCCCAGAATTCCACAGCCAGCATTGCTGGCTGTGGAATTCTGGGAGTTGAAGTCCACATGCCTTAAAATTGTCAAGGTTGAGAAATGCTGATTTCTAGTGTGAAGCTCTTGTTCCGATATGAAGAGGGTTAGGAAGCTATTATTATGGCAATGGAATACAAAGGGAATACAAAGTGGCTAAGTCTATCACCTGAAGATGCTTGAACATTTAAAAGATGTATGTGAAGAGAAAATGCTATGGGCAGCAACATCAAACTTCACTGCCTGTCTTCCTACATAGCAATGCCTCAGCTCTCAGAGATCAAAAAGATCCTCTATCAAATAATAGTCTAGCTTATGCATCAAATAATCTTCCTTTTGCCATGTTAAAACTCATGAAGAGACCATAAAACCCATCTGGCCTTTTAAAAATTGCATAAAACATAACTGCAAGCAATAGCTGGAGAGAGAGACATTTTGTTTTGGTACCTGGTAATGTATGACATGCTGTACATAAGGAATATCAAGACCACGAGCAGCTACATCTGTTGTCAACAGGGGACAGCTGAAATTACAGAAGGACAGCAGCAGTTTAATTAAACAGAACCGAGGGGGGGGACCTCTTTACAATGTTCTCCTCCACACTCTACCAGATGGCCAGGTGGGTTGACCCAGCAAAATAGAATCTGTGAATATGTCACAAGATAAAGAGATTAAATTAGAGCATAGTGGACCAAGACAGGCAGAAGATAATCTAATAGTATATGAACTGTTTTAAAAACTTTGATTGGATTCTTCTATAATGTTGTGTTAAAACGTATTTCCTTAGTCTTTATGGCTTAATGCATATGCTGATTTCTAACATTTTTTGAATCACAATTATATTTAAAGAGATGATGCAAAAAAAAAAAAGTCTCTTGTACCTTGCCCTCCCTCAACCACGCATGGCCTGGTAGCTGGATCCTTGCTTCCTTTTCAAAACTACAATTCCCATTCTCCCTAGCCACTATGCTTATTGAATAGAATTCAATGTATCTAGAGGTGACAATATTAGGAAACGTTGACCTATCTTTTTACCCTGACCCATTTCACAATAAAGACAGGTCTAAATATGCACATTATCCATAAACCTCCAGATAGTGTCAACTTTCAATAAGAGCAGATAATCATAGAGAGACATGATAAAGAAAGAGAAATGATCAAATCGGAAAATTCACTGGGCACATGCTTGTATATCAGAAGGGGACGTGTGTTGGAAATGAGAAATCTGAAAATAGTAAATAAAAAAACAAATAAAAAACAAACCCTAGGGTGAGCTGGAAATCTGGATCCTCTTTTTTAACAGTTTTTTTCCCAGTCTCCATTACACTAGTATCATATACAAAAACACTTGGGGGTTTGTTAATTGAACAGGAAGGCTTGTGTTTAACATATTAGCCAAATTCTGCTGTCAAATGACTTAACCAAAATATTTGCGAAAAAATTAAAATTTAGTGGCTCAACACTACAGCTCCTAATAGTAAAACTACTCTAGACTGTGAAGATGAATTTAAAAGTACACAAGGAATCCTGGGCCGGCTGAGGCAAGACCATAAAAAGGAAGATTCCCTGTCAGTTTATGCAACGGATTAAACTTTAGTTTAACTTGTTTTCTTAACTAGAAAAAGCAGGAAAAAAACAAAGCAAATAAATCAGTCAATTTTGATTAATGGATATAATTCATTCATAATGTAGTAGTATATTCAGGTTTAGAAAAGTAAAGTCTTTGGTGAGTAAAATTCAATTCCTGGTAACTCCACAGCGACATCCTTCTAGTTTCCTTAGCAACAGAACAAAATTGGTTTTGCCAC